TAATATTCATATAATACTAGCAGTCACTAACAGTCTTTCTACAAGTAGCAATTGAAGAGCATCGATGGACCATAGAAGTGTGGACTGTTTGAGGAAATAATCCCTTGATTTATTTCATTGATCACAATCGTGTGTGTGTGTATATATATATATATATATATATATATATATACACACACAAAGTATATAACAACTTACCTAACAAACTATCCTATCAATAAGGAAACTAATATCACTATTTGTAATACAATATACAATTACTAATAGTCCCCTGCAGTTGAAGCGGGAGCACGGCAGACGCTTAAAATGGACCGGAAGTTCTCAAATAAGTTTCATGGTAAGCCTTTAATGAAAACGTCGGCGTACTGATATGCAGATGGAACATGAAGGAAAGAATTTCACCGACCCGGACTTCCTCGCAAACAAACTAAATGTCCATTTCTACATGTTTGGTATGTTGGTGTTGGACGGGGTTACCGGACATTAACAGAATATACCAAAATAGAATGTCGAACCGGGACATGTAGCTTAAGTAGTATATTACGAATCCAGCATGATTCGGCACAGTGTTTGCAACGCCGGAATATTTAGCCTTAGCACTGGACCAAGAGATAGTAGGTTATAGCTTTGAAGTCCATGAAACTAGATTGTCACCAAGAAAAACACAATAACCAGATGTAGATCTTCGAGAATCAGGGAAACTCCCCCAGTCAGCGTCGGAGTAAGCCTTAAGATTATGTTGTGATGATACTTTAATATATAAACCAAAATCAAGTGTGCCCTTGATGTAGCGAAGAATGTGCGTCATGAAATTAAAATGAGGTTCCCGAGGAGCATGGATGAAGAGACAAACTTGTTGAACGGCATAGGTGATATCGAGGCGTGTAAATGTGAGATACTGTAGAGCGCCCGCAAGATGGCGGTAGAGAGTGCCGTCAGGTAGAAGGGCACCACCTGTAGCACTAAGTTTGGAAGATGTTTCCATAGGAGTGGTCATGAGATTACATGATGTCATGGACGCCTGTTAAAGAATGTCTTGAGCGTACTAGGCTTGAGACAAGAATAGCCCCTGAGTCAATCGAGTGACAGAAATCCCTAAGAAATGGAGTAGCACCCATGATAAAGTAGTGATAATCAATTTTAAAACCACAGGATTCTATATGGTAAGAATAATGTCGTCGACATAGGGAAGTAAGTATGCAGTGTGTGGCCCGTGTCAATAGACAAAGAATGAGTTATCACAAACATTGCTACGAAACCCATTGGCAGTTATAAACGTGGCAAAACGATAGTACCAAGCCTAGGGGCTTGCTTAAGTCCGTATAATGACTTGCAAAGACGACATACATAATGTGGAGCATGAGGATCAACAAACCCCGGTGGTTGGTTCATGTAAACAGTCTCATGAAGATCCCTATGAAAGAATGCATTCTTGACGTCTAATTGGTGTATCGGCCATGACCGGGAAATTGCAAGGCTTAAAACAGTTTGTATGGTTATTGGTCTGACAACCGGGCTAAATGTCTCATCATAGTCAATGCCAACCATTTGTGATTTTCTGTTTACCACGAAATGAGCCTTGCACCATTATAGAGTACCGTCGACATGAAATTTGTGGCGAAAAAGCCACATGCACCGGATAATACACCGATCCTTAGGGCATGGAACAAGTTCCCATGTATCATTTTATGTAATGCATTAAATTCGGTGGTGATGGCATTAGTCCAATTAGGATTCGAGAGGGAATTAGTGTATGATGAGGGCACAGGTGAAATCGGTTTAAAGGAGTGAGTGTGAAGGTTAAGGATGTGGCGAGGTTTGACAATGTCGTGTTTTGAACGGGTTGTCATAGGGTGAGTAGTGAGTGGCAGGTTGGGAAGCGGGTTGTGATGGAGGAGGAGGTGGTGGTGGTAGACTAGAGGGTGGGGATGGAGCGGGTAAGGGGTTAGGTGGAGGCATAGAATGAGGGTCGTGAAAGGGAAGGGTCAGGTTCGAGGAAGCGATAGGTGGAGTGAGGTAATGGCTCGGAGTAGGGGAATGTGGTTTGAACCTGTATGATTTTGTACGTGAATATATATATATATGTGTGTGTGTGTCTGTGTGTCTGTGTGTGAATCATGTATGATTTTGTACATTAACAATGTTTTTCTTGTTTTTTTTTAAATAGTTAGCGTTCTCATTTGTACCTGTCAATAAGAAAAAGTTTTCAAAGTTCATAAAATGGAACAAAATTAGTTCATAATTCACCATAAGAAAAAACTTCAATTTATAATTTATCAAACAAATAACTCAATTATTGAAATCTGAAGAGAAAAAAAAAATACAAATTCTATAATAGACAATACATTTGTTGAAGTTGTGATAGGTAAGGATAAAGGTCTTTCGTTGGAACCTGAAACTTGTTTACAAGTAGGAACTCAACTTGATCATAACACTATATAACATATGTGTATATATAACATTACCATTCTTGATAAAATTTCACCGTACTAATCTTCCGCTATAAAGTAATCCTAGTTGAACTTGGGTGTATGAATGTTTTCAAGAACATAATCGATTGTTTTCTTGATAACAATTATGCCAAAACTAAATAGAAAGGAAGAAATTGAGAAATAAAAGGATGGAGAGATGAGGAATTGGAGAAAGTAAATCAATTGCAACAAACAATAAGGGAAATGTCTATCAAGAAGTTGAATAGTTAGGAGGTTAAACTTAAGTTGAATGCAAAATAACCAAAAAAAATCTCATTTATTATGAAACATACAATTTGTCTATAGGGGCAAAAAAGTCTTAACTTAATTAGTATTTTAAAAACTCAAAAAAGAGAAAAAAAATATTAAAAAAAAGTTCCTATCCTTTAGAAGAAGTCATATCATACATAATGGATTTTTCTTTAATATATACATAGATTAATATGACGTTTTATTTATAAAAAAAAGTTGTAGATATTTATTAGAATATCCAGTTACATTCTAATTAACATCTTATTATAACACTGGAACATTTTATTTGTCTTATAAAACCAATTTTATGTAATAATATTTTGGAGGTTTTGTTACTTATACCGTTATTTATTAAAAAAATGTTTATTTTTTATTGAATAAAATATTAAAGAAAACCATATAATAATAAACATAATTAGAAATTAATGATTGAATTAATTTGTAAATGAGTAGACGACAACAAAAGCTAAGGTGAACAAGTGGTTGAAAGGGTGGCAACCGGCAAAGCATGTGCAATTGCTATGACTATTGACTATGACCACAAATTTCACCAATATCCCTTCATATTCTTCCATGTGTTTTTCCACCCCTAAAAATACAACCAATTTTAGGGGCTGTTTATCAATTATTTATAAGATAAGTGTTTATACGGTGTGACGTGCTGTAGCGGGTAGCATGACAAGGACTAAAAATCTCATCCGGTAAAAAACGTAATTCAAAGATCGATAATGTTACACGGTAAATGAGAGAGAATACTCTTACCAGGTAAGTGTTTAGTAGGTAAAATACGTTTACCAACAATCCATTTTGATTGGGGGTGAACAAAGGTGTGTATCGGTCCAAAATTCATGGAATTGGTCCGACACCGGAACTAGTTACACCAGTTCTTTATATTTGGGAACTGGTTTCGATACCGGGGGCCTGATGTCTAAATATTTTTTTAAAAAATTTATTGTTTCATACTATAAAAAATAATACAGTCTATTACAAAGTACCAACATAAAGAATTAAATGCTACAAATGGTGAAAACTAATCCGATTGTGGAACAGTAAGAGACTAAGAGGCAGAGAGAATTGATTCAACTCTTAAGGAATGGCGGTAAATGTAACCCTGAAATGTATATTAATAAATTTTTAGTTTTAGTTTATTAAATATATAATAAACATATAAAATAATTTTTATTAAAAAGATAGCGGATACCCATCAGTTCCGATTGCAGGTACCTAGTGGGACTAAGTACCCAGTCTCAGAACCGGGCCCAGTGGGTACCCAGCTGTTAACGGTTCCAAAAAAATGAGAAACGGAATTGAAACCAATCACATTTGTTCCAGTTCCAAAGGCAGGTACCCGCTTCCGTGCTCACCCCTAATTTTGATAGTATAAAATGTTACGCAATAAGGTAAGTGAAGATGATAAATATTGAAGGTAAGTGGTTACCCGATAAGCATTTGGTAAACGACCCCATAAATAGCTCCCAACATATCCTAAATTAAAACTCATTTCTTTATATTTCCAAGATATCAAATATAAGCTGGATTATTTTTTAAGCTTATTGAAAAACCCTGACTTGAAAAATCATAAACTAGTTTTTTTACAAACTATTTCATATAACATTTTAATAAGTTTTAGGTTTTTTTTTTTATTCTTTTAGGTACTTTTTACAGTTCTAGTTATCAATCAGTTTTACCAAACATGACTAGTTTATCAATTTAATAGCTAAATTTTCATCTAACAACTACCTTTTTAGTTAACAGATAACTTATTAGTTGTGTTTTTAACTAACATCATAGTATTATTCAATCCTAAGACCATGTTAAGGCTACAATTTCGACGAAATAATTTGTCAAAAACTGTTTACAAACATACAAAATCATGTCGATCTTACGTTCCAATTCAAAATTACATAATTCAAAAGACTAAAAAAGTGAAGCTTGACCAAGTAATAGCCGAGCAATGCGATGATCAAAAGTTGGTCCGGAAGAATGGCCAGCCATGCTAAAACCATCATTCGAAAAGGCTCGCAGCAATAGTCATCATGGCGCAGTGTGGTTCAAGACTTGTGTCTCACGCCACATTAAACCTGAGGCACACCATGGCGTAATGGGCAGTTTTTCTAACACGATATTTGATTTTACTTATTCTTTTAACATCTTATTTGTTAGTTTAATATATATAATTTAATTTAAATTGTTTATTATCATTAATTCATTGATTAATAATAGAATACACATGTTTATGTATATAATATTATATATGATATAGAGATTTGTTGTCATAATACACTGAAAAGCACATATCAATTAGATGGATCTACATCATCTATTTATTAACCGGTAAAAATAAAAATAATATTAAATAAAAATAATGAATTCATGTGATTTGTTAGAAATAAATAGAATAAAAAATTGATTTTTATATTTAATTGATTTTAATTTTATATAAATGAAATAATAAACTGACCGCCACGTTGACTGGGTTCGGTTGTGTTTGTTGAACTTTCTGTTTTCTTTTTGTTTTTTCCTTTTTTTTTTTTTTTTTTTTTTTTTCCGGTTTCTTCTGACGCTTTCCCTCTTACCATCTTCAGTGGAAACTCACCAAAACTCATAAAAGTCAAACCCCCTCACCGTTACAAGCCACTTTGACTTCTTCATCTCTCTACAGCTTTACTTCTAGAGACACAATTTGACAGCCAGTTAGAGAGAGAGATAGAGAGATGTATGGGGTACATCCGGCCAAGGATTCCGATGAGGCCGTCGGCAATGGAACAACGGAGGTGATCCGAACGTACCAAACCTGGAAAGGCAGCAACGTAAGTTGACTCGCTTGTTTTGTAATTTAGGGTTTTTTTAACTTGTTGGATGATTGGATCATGTTTTTGACTATGTATATGATTGTGATTACGAGTTGAGGTTTTTAAGATCGATGATTTGATTTGACGTGTTTCGGTTAGGTGGTCTTTTAAATGAATACTGTGAAATCAACGTTTTGTGACTTTGTTTAGTCGTTTAGGTTCTAGCTTATTGGAATCTAGGGTTCTCTTTAGGAAGTCGTTTAGCTGAATAGGTATATGAGATTGAAGACTGTACATTAATGGATGAAATACTATAGATGCAAATCGAGATGTAAGAGAAAGGAATTATGATTATTTGGGCCTCAAATTCAATTTTAAGAAAGCTTTGTGCTGGTGAACTAAGGTATTATGCTTATCATTTTGAAAGGTACTTTTATTCCCTTCCCCAAGGGGGCATATTCTTCCATTACTTGTAATATTGATTAGATACAATGTTTTGTTCACTGGCTGATGCCAAAAAAAATGTTTTGGATTTTTCCTTCAGGTTAGAGTGCTTTCAAAGACACTAGTGCTTATTAGTTATTACTTGGTGATATTCCCTTGTTAAGTGTGAACTTTCCTTAGCTATGTGAAACATGACTTGGTGCATCTTTCTCTAAAATTTTGCTCTTTTTCTACTGTGCAGATATTTTTCCTCGGTGGTAGAGTAATATTTGGACCAGATGTACGATCAGTCTTCCTATCAATATTCCTAATAGTTGCTCCGGTTGCGGTTTTCTGTGTATTTGTTGCCAGGAAGTTGCTTGATGAATTTGCACATCATCTCGGAATCTTGGTTATGGTCATAGCAATTGTGTTCACATCTTATGTAAGTTCTCTTCACTTGATAACAAATTCATTATTATGTTTGTATTGACATGGAGATGTTGGATTCAGTCTCTGCTCTGTTACATTCTGTTAAACATAATATTTAGATGTTAGATAGATCGAGGATAGAATAAACTAGTGGTTGAAAACTAGGATATGGCAAAGCTACTGAGCTTATCATGACCCTTTGCTTGAACTTGGAAATTACACTTGACATAAGACACTTAATTTTGCCAGAAAACTTTATAACCTTGCCAACACTTTGAAAACCAAGCAATTTACGTTCATGTTGGTAGTGACCATATTGATATAGAATCTTAGACAAGGAGGTCCTAGCCATGATGATGTCTATAAGCTGTACAACATAAAGCAAATCTTTTCCTTTTTTGGGCAAAAAATTAAGATTTTATTGATAAAGTATCTCAAAAGGATCCAACCAAAGATACAATTGCGGGGATACAAAATGTCATTTCAGATAGTGCCATGAAACTAAGATATTACTGTAATCACAACCCTAACCAACTTGAGGCTACTGAAATTAAAACTTGCAGTCCCAAACACAAGCTGTTGAAGATGAGACGCTAAAATAAACTTGAAACTTGCCATAAATTTGCAAACGAGCAACCCTCCTCTTGATCTGCCACAGAACCAAAATTGAACATGATGCAAACCCAAAGTCAAAACCTATCCCACCCAAATCAAACCAAAAAATCTTTATGTGAATGATACGGATGATTTGGATTCACCCTAAATGAAAGGAGAATAGAGAAGAAGAGAGAGAGAGAGAGAGAGAGAGAGAGAGATGAGAGAAATTGCTATTATTCATTCATAACCCTTCTGTATTAAAATTCACCTATATATACATCTCTCAAGAGACTTTGGCAGTCATTTCCAACTAACTCCAAACCTCTTCTCAACTAACCCAGTTAACTCCTGTATACTGAACCTGTTAAAATACTCAACAGCCACAAGGTGAAGGACACACCACAATGATGACCATGAAACAGCCCTCTGTAGATGGTTGAAAGCCGCCAGTAACTCCTTGACATAGAAAAACCAAAAGACATGGTTTATCCCTTCAACATTGGAATCCCTTAGCCACTGAAGAACCTCAAGGACCAGGCAAGTGATCAGATAGTTAGGTGCCATTATAGACGATACACCAGTGGGAGGTGGTGCTTAGCCTTTCGGTGGATACCAATCATAGGCCACTGTGACCTAGGAGCAATCACGATGAATCTCAATCTTGTGTGGTGGTGGGGAAGCGAAATGTAGGATTAGAGCGATCCTGAGGGGGGAGTCTCTGAAGAGAAGCTGAGACTGCCATTGAAAGTGGATTAGAGGGTGATGGGATTTGGGGATGTAAGCTTGGGAAGATCTTGGAGAAATCGAGGGTTGAGAACTGGGATTTGCACATCCAAGGATGTGATGACGTTTGAAGATGATGCCTTGCCTGAGATGGTGATGGTCGCTGGGAAAGTTTGTCAGAAAGCTGAAACTGGATAATTTGATACCATGGAGCAATGTAGGTTCACATGAGAATGAGAATCCCTGGGACCGTAGGAGTTGATCCCTCTACCTGAGGATAAGATTAGAGTTTGAAGTGTGGCTCAATTCCCATGAGAGAATTGGGAAGGTGATCTCATCCCTTATATAATGAATCATATGAGCAGTTGTGTGAACATCATAACAGCATGCCTTATCTAAGCTAATTGGGTTGGCTAAGTTGCACCTAAATTAATTATGTAGGTGTGGAACGCAATACTGAAGAGCTTGATCGATCTGGATTCCAGGAATTGTCTTTGCTTCAACTCTTATCTAAGACCAACTCCTTTCCGAGGATGATCCCACCACTTGCATTTCTCTTCATGACTTCGCTCATTTTATTCTTCGTTGACCTCTACCTTTCTGAACAACATCCTTATGGTGTAAAGATTGCACACGAAAAGCAAAGCACAAGGCAAGATGGCTGATTGGCCTTGTAGCTTGCCCTTGTTCATCAATAGCCAAGTGTACTCCAGATGTGTGCACCTATAATAGGTTTTGTGGATCACCATATACTCGTATCAGAGAGTAAGAATGCCTCAGCGTCGACTTCAATTACTTCACTGCACTATAGGCAGCATACAAGAAGTTCTGGTGAGATAAAATCGAACCTCGACAATACCTAGGAAGGCTACTTCACAGAAGTCCCCTCCCCCATGTGGCGGTGTGACAATGACAAAGTAAGATTCACAATAACAAGCAGACAGGGTAGGAGACATATGACCATCTTCTCTATTGCTCTCCCACATCAGATACATTATATGCCTTATTTTGTATTTACTTCATGGTCTAAATTATTATAAAGATTGCATGATTCGTTAAGGGTGTGCCGTTGTGGGGTTTCTTTTATGCTTTCGTCTTCAGCGGGAAAATCATCATATCAATCTCACTCCATTTAGAAACAAGAGTCCATGTTTGATTTTCGAAATAGATCATCTATGCATTTTGTTTGCTAAATATGTGTTGTTGTTTTAGTTATTTTACTTGGTTATATCATCAGCAAAGCTTGACATCTATGTGATAGAGCTATCACACTTAATAATGTTTTATTGAATTAGTGAATGTTACATTGGTTGGCAGGTTATAATCCTGCTTCTAATGACCTCTGGAAGGGACCCAGGAATAATTCCTCGCAATACACACCCTCCAGAACCAGAAATTATGGATCAGAGCTTAGAAATTGGATCTAGCCAAACTCCACAGTTACGTTTACCTCGCATTAAAGAAGTAATGGTGAATGGGATGACTGTGAAGGTCAAATATTGTGATACTTGCATGCTATATAGACCTCCACGTTGTTCTCATTGTTCGATATGTGACAACTGTGTGGAACGATTTGATCATCACTGTCCTTGGGTTGGCCAGTGTATTGGAAGGGTAAGAAACGTCATTCTTCTTTTTTTAATCTTTTTGCATGAAAATCCTGGGTTTGTTAGCTCTACCCAGAAAACTTACAGTTACAGTGATGTTTCTTTTGGTGGATGCAGCGTAACTACCGATTCTTTTTCATGTTCGTGTCCTCAGCAACTCTGCTTTGCATTTATGTGTTTGCCTTTTGCTGGGTGTATGTCATAAAGATCAAGGACAGTGAGGAGATATCGATATGGGCGGCATTAATCAAGACCCCTGCCTCAATTGTGCTCATAATTTATACTTTCATATGTGTCTGGTTTGTTGGTGGCCTTACCGTCTTCCATCTTTATCTCATCAGCACAAACCAGGTGAATGACTCACTAATCCTTTTTTCTTTTAAGTATGTGATATTTATATACGGAAACTCCTCACATTTGGTAAGGTTTAAACTAGAGTTGTAAACCTACCGAACACACAGAAATGGAGGCTTGTTTGTGTTCGTTTGTGTAACTTAACCAAACAAACACAAACGATAAAAGAACGGAAAATTTTGTGTTCATGTTCAGGTTCTTTTATGTTTGTCCATTAAGATGTTAAATGAACGTAAAGAAATGAACACAAATATACTAAAAGCAACCACCATTACTCATCATTTCGTTCCTAAAACAATAACGTAACAAAATGAAAAACCAGGTAAGTAGAAGAGATAAAAAAAGAATTCTAACAATTTAATTTAATTAACTATTTTACATATTAATGTCATAATATATAAATATATTTATATATATAAACAAATGCAGACGAACATATATGAAGGTAAACAAAAATAAATAAACAAACGTTAATGAAAGAACGAAACCATTGTCCATGTTCGTTCATTCAACTAAACGAACGAAACCATTGTTCATGTCCGTTCATTTATTAAATAAACGAACATAAACGAACTTCCGGCAGAACTGTTCACGATAGGTTTGCTAAACGTTAGGTTCATTTACAGGCCTAATTTGAACCCTGGAAGGCTGGGATGGGGCCAATGACCCTATGGTTGAAAGAGTAGTCCTTTGTGTACCATGTCATTTCCATGCACTTGGCAAGAAAACTAGATGAACCCATCTCTTAACATTTTGGTTATCTTCTTTTCTTTATCTTGCAGTCTACGTACGAAAACTTCCGGTACAGGTACGATCGAACCGAAAATCCGTATAACAGAGGGGTTGTCGAGAATTTCAAGGAGGTATTTTGGAGTAGCATTCCTCCTTCCAAGAACAAATTCAGGGCAGTGGTGCAAAGAGAACCTGAAACCTTACCTCGAGCCGCAGGAGGTGGTGGATTCATGAATTCAAACGTCGAGAAAACCCCAAGTGACATAGAAATGGGAAATAGGAAGCCTACAGGGAATAATGGTGATGAAATGTCGGGTGGTAATAACCGACGTTCGAGTTGGGGACGAAGAAGTGGAAGTTGGGAGTTACCGAGCGATATTGCTTCGCTTGCATCGGGTCTCGGAGACTCGAATCGGATAATTGGTGGAAGTAGTGGCAGCTTGGGTGGTCAAAATAGGCAATGACAATGTGTGGTGTAAAAGACCAAAAAGCCAAAAAAAACAAGGTTATTTTGAGTGTGTTTGTGTGTATATAGATAGAATGGGGTAATATAATTATAAGCAACCCCTTCTCATTCTGGCTTATGATGTAATACTCCTATATACATATATGTGTGTGACATTTGTTTCTTGAGTTGCTAGGATTATAAATCTTAGGGTACATAGTTTTTGGATGTATTATATACATACATACTTTCTATTTTGTTTTTATATTAATGGTAACTTCATCTCATTTTTAAATGTGTTCGATACAAGTTCAAAACCGCAAAATGAGATTAGACCGTTTGTTGGTTTGGGTTTGGCTTTGAGATTGGCACGACACGGGTGTAAATTAAGATAATATGGGTCGAACCAAATTAGATCGTCAATTGGTTTGGCTTCAAGATGGCGTGGATTAAACCATGGTAAAAGATGTACGAAACAATTAACGATATTCATGATTTAGAGCAATAAGCAAGTTAGAGCTTCTCCAATTTAAGGTTCTTACAAGCAAAAAGTATAATAATTTCTTTTAAAAACCTTAATTGTTTTGAGTTTTTATACAACATTGGTTATTACCTTGAAGTTGATGTGAAATGACAATTTCTTAATTTTTTATGTATTTATTTATAAACATATAATAAGTATCGAAGTTGAAAAAAATATATGGGACCCACAAAGAAATTCTTATAAGAATTATCATGGTAGACTTTCATGTAGGTTCTTAATTTGATGAATTGAAAGTCATATGGCAATAAAAAGCACAAAAAGTAGGTTCTTATAAGAACCTCCATTCTCCGAGCATGCATTCAAAGGCAATTTAAACCTTCGGCTAAACCCGACTCATTTTGATTCGATGGGTTCGGTTCTCGAAAATAAGGCAAACAAGTATTTGCAATCAATACCAAATGGACCTATAAATGAATGCTTTGTGTCGTTTGTCTAGTGGTCGGAAAAAAATTAAAATCAAAATATTTTTATGAATTCAAGAAGATAATAGAAGAGATAATAAAGAGTAAAAGTGAGCATGGACTCTAGAAATAGAAAGGGATGTTGAATTCCTGTTCAAAGAGAAGCAGAACAAAATCACAAGATTTTAAAGTACATGACATTTTATAACTGATTGTGAGGCAATGAGAAATGGAAATATCATGTGTAGATTATGAAACTTATATGAGTAAAATCCGATGGCGTTTTCTTGATACTACTGCATGGATTGAAAGCGTTTGACTATCATGATGCTCATGTCCATGTAGCGTTGTGCGCAGTTTGAGAGGCAACTCGATTCACTCGAACTGAACTTGCTTCCAGGAGTACTGGTGATGCACTTATCCCAGCATGCACTCGTCAGCTTTGCTATCATCTCATTTGCCATCGCTCTTTCTTTTTCTTGCTGCACCAATTCCAGATCAGGATCACATATTTTGAATCAACCCAATTACAACTCGTAGAAAATACAATTGCTAACTTGGGGTTGCACATTAAACATGTAGTTGCAACAAAAAAGGATGGTCAGATATGGAATCCAAATGTCGGTTATACCAAAGATGGAGCCCAGGCAGAATAGCCCCAACCAAATCTTGTCCACAAATGTTCTATTACAGTAAGCAGAGAGAAGTCTAGAACTGGACTGGCGAGAGTGAGTTAAACAGGTGAAAGAATTTCAGGAGGTTTTAACTTCAGATGGGTAGTTTAGTAATTTAACTGTCTTGTCTAATCTCCCCTGATTTTTGTTTCACCTATTTTGGTGGAATACTGTTCTAACTCTATTTACACACAGATCTAAGCAAAAGTGTGGAAAAATGTAAATATTATGGCTCTTTATGGTATTATATTGTTCAAATAAAAACCCAATCAACAACAGTAAATGTAGAAAAAGTGTTTTATCCTTTAATCTATTGTTTCTAGCCATTAGTATTATTGTGTGTATGATTAGCAATCCTAACAAAAGAAGCACATATTCAACAGTATCAATTTATCCTTAACAAGGGTTGAGATCTCAAATTTCATTATGCTGTTACATAGTAGTACCCTACGTTGCATATGAAAAAAATAGGATTCATAGGATCAACAAACGGACATAGCTTGAACAAGACTTTATCCCAAACATCAGCTGCTAGGTCCCATACTTAAAAAATACTTGCCTGTTTGGTTTGCAAAATTCGGTAGGATTTGGAATTCGATTCTGTTCCAATTCTGCGTTTACTTTAAAGGAAAGTGCGGAATTGAAATCCCACAAAGATTGGATTTAGAAATCCCATGGGGGTAGTTGGTATTTCATAGGATTGTTTGTAATAATGTTCTAAAACAGTTTAATAACATTCATTTTGTAATAATTAATTAATGAAAGGTAAATTTTTAATCATTTTAATAATTATTCTATTGTTTGTTTTTATATATTATCTATAAAAAATAGAATACAATTCCATTCCAGATCCCACAAACAAGACACAACAAAGATTACAAATCCTTCCACGAAATCCAAATCCCTCAAAAACATTCCGTCAAACCAAACACATCCTTACGAGATTGCCTTCAAAATCAAACTATAAATATTGCAACAACTCTTACATCACTAACCACCAAACCTTCTCTAATAAAAAAAACTCTGAATATTTGCTATACATGTCAATAAGTGAATAAAGAATGGAAAAAACCATTAATGTATTGAGCTTGAATAAAAGATGAACCAACCCTAATTGTATGTGTATATTTTGTTTGATATTAAGTATGTGAAAACTTCAGTTGCCTTTTAACACTAGCAAAGAAACAAAGCTAATCATGTACCTTCTATTGAACATCTGAATCTCCAATTCTTAGGAAACAATGCTAAAAGATTTACCATCAATTCTATGCAAATCTCATGATACAAAAAAAACCCAAAAATAGATAATAATCTCATCTCAGTCTTTACTCATCACCTACATATGCATTCATGCCACTGCTAGCAGATAAAACATGTAGAACCAAAATAACCAATAATGTCACAGCTTCTTCTTCTTCTTAAGCTAAAATATGATCTCCCAAGTAAAGAAGAAGGGAAAAAAAGAGCAGTGGAAATCAAGTTGAAGTTAAAATCTTGTTGAGCACAAACAACAAAGATGATGAAATAAGATCACAAATTCAAAAAACAAAATGTCATGAATTACCACAAAAAAATAGAGAAAACTATCAAATAAACATCAAGGATATATGATCTAACACCCAATTCAGAACAAAATTACTGATTCTTGACCAAATGAAAGCAAGGCGTAACCTCGATTCCAATTCCTAATTATAATTCAAATAACATATGCAGGGTTTACACACGTATATATAACACAATGGCCAAAGCACTATCATCTTCCTTTCTCAAACTAATTAACCGTAAATTAATCATAAAGCACTTACACAAAAACTCAAATCAATACTAATCACCGAACCAATTTCCCAAATTTGGTACATACAAATACACACATACGGAAACAATGCAAATTAAGAAGTAGAGCTTACATTGATCAACTGCTGTAATTGGGGATTGCTTAATGCTGAAGCGTCCATGGAAATTGAAGCTAGAAAACAACTTCGCTGATCGACACAGAAACGGGACTAAAAGTTCAAAAACCCTAAAAACCCTACAAATGAACACTGAACGATGGTGGTAAAGTTACAGCATGGCGAGGCCCGTTTTTGTTAATAGTTCTAATTTGGGCTTAAAAGCCCATAAAGAAATGAAATTTATAAACTCGTTATAATTAATTTTCTAAAAATCTTTAATTTTATATTATATTTTATTATTTTTTAAATAATTATATTTCTTCTAAAGTTGTAAAAATCTTTAATTATATATTGTATTAAAAAAAATTGAAACTCGTGTGGACAGTAATTTAGTAACTATATAGATTTTTAAATAATGTATATAAAAAAAGTGTTGTCTAAATAATATAACCAACAATGATCATAAGATGTTATAAACGTCATCTTTATTTTATTTATTTATATTAATTATAATAAATTTATTATCATGTAGATACAGATACAAATATACATATTAATATATTCAAGTTTCATGTAAATAGAATTATGCATATTAATTGTAATTTCATATGTATATAATGAGTTCTTTAGTATATTCATTAATTGTTATGTAGTAATGGTTATGGTGGAGGTGGTCCACGGTGGTAATTGTGGTGACGATGGACAGTGGTGGTTGTTAGGCGACGGTGCATGTGGAGGTGGGTGGAGGAGGTGGCCATAGACAGTGGTGGTCAGTAGTCGACAGTGGTTGTGGAGGTGGAGGTGGTGGAGGAGATTGTTGTAGTGGAAGAGGATGTAGAGGTGGTTGCCAGTGTGCCCGGCGACTGCGACTAGCGGTGGTGACAATTAAAACAAACATCATGTTAATGTTATATTTCAAACAAGGGTGGATTGGTAATATCTTAGTTTCTATTTCCTTCTTGTCCCGTCTTGTTCCTCCTATTTTGGTAGAACAAGAAAAAGTTTTTTTTTTATCTCACAATGTCTCATCTTGTCTCTGTCACATATCGCACCAAACATTGAACAATGAGTTCTTGTCATCTCTCATGTCACGCCAAACATGAGACATCGAGTTTTGTCATATCCTATCCTATCCTATCCTATCTCATGTATCAAATGCAGCTAGTAGAGGAAATGTCAACGTACATCCTATTTTCTCATACCCTGTTTCGTGTGTGATATATTTGATTATTTCGGTCTGGTACCGACCTTGATCTTATAATCATATTATACATAGTAGAATCTATAAATAAAAAAAATGGAACCAACTCTTGTCGTTCAATATCTACTTGAACTTGCAAACACGAATGTTGCTGCATACAAGACGCATCCATGGGAATCTTACACGTCATCATCTACTAGATTCGAGTTAGTCCATTGTTCTCTCTTTTAGTCGTACGTATTCTTTTTCTCTGTGAATGTTTGTCTTCCATGGTAGTTAGGTAGCCCGCATTAAGGTGACTCACCTTCAATTGTAAGAAGCCCTTCTCAACCCGTATCTTGTTCATTCTGAAAACACGCCTTCTTATTCCATATTTTCTCGAATCTTCATGCATCATCTAATATTTATGCAGAATGAACGAACAATGTGTTATTAGAAATGTGTTAATGTATACAGTTTTTGTTAAACCCTGAAGAACAAAATTTATTTACATATATTATTAACATGTAATTGGGTTTTTTTCACAATCCAAAAAATCAAACAATGGTTTTGCTATTTGATGAGAGATGTTTGGCTTCATATTTGATGTATCTTTCACTTAAAATAAATCCAAATGTGAACTATGGATACCACATCTAGGTGGTTGTTTGTTTACCTTTTAATAGTTCCATTAAGAAGCAGTCTCTGAACTGTTAAGAGGTGAATCTTGTTTGGCAAAAAAAAAAAGTCCGCCTCTTAATGGTTCTAAAACTCTCTGAATGATTTTGTATCATAGACCTCCCTTAATCATTAAGAGCCCCAATTTCATTGTAAACAATTACCAAACAAGTATATTTCATTTTGCATTATATCATGAGAACCTCTTAATCATTCTGACCACTTAATCATTCTGCATCAAACCATTCAGCAACTGTCAAACAGCCCTTAATTATTTGATTGAATAAATAGACCTAAAAACTTTATCAAACATTTTATCATAAAATATGTGATCATTATAGCATACATTTGTAAAAGAACGAAATTATATTAACCAAAAAGATGTTCTTACACTATTATTGAAATATTGGATACGAGTGTCATTTGATCCACATGGCACTTTTGATGTTGACATGTCAACAAGAATGACCGGATTACAACGTTTCCAATAACTTAGTGTCTAGAAAATGAAATAAAAATATACTGGTATTTTTCATTAAAAAAAATAACTACTCGTATGCAAGGTTGTCGTCTCATGCTACTACGGCAACTCTCTTCTCTATAATCAATTAGGGGTGGTTTTTCTACCCATGTCGAATAAAAATACGTCGAGTCAAATATTCTTCATGTAAAACCTACTTAATTTAGATCAAGAAAATAGTATGATTTTCATGAAACCATGTGCTATGGCTCGAATCTGAAGTCAATCATATATCTGGTAGGTACAATTGACAATTAAATCCAATTTTCCCATTATTTTCTTATTCATAATAGTTCAGAAACGAAAAGAAGGCCCAAATCCAAGTTGTTGAAGAATAATATTGTTGAGTTTCTCGATACTTTGTCTTGTGTAACACCCCAAGTTAATTACCGACTTACATTTTATTATACATGATAAAGAAAAAAAAGACGAAAATTGTATATAAACAAACAAGAACCCTAAAACCCTAAACCCTAAACCCTAAACCACAAGTCCTTGCTAGAATTTGTTTTGCAATGTTCAATTTTAGTTGTATTTGAATAATGCTTGCTGTAAAAATACTGAATAAATAATTTTAAAAAAAGAAAAAGAAAAAAGTGGTAAAGCAAATGGATCTTTGTACAACTTTTGGGTGGATTGATTATACATTTAACACTTGAAAGAAGAATTGCATTCAAGAAAGCTATGGGACAGCAAAAGGAATGTTGAAATATCTAATGCCAAAAAAGATCCAACTTAAAACTTCTACCTTCGGTTGCGACGAACTGCTTCTTTACTTTTGAATCTAAGATCCATCGATAGACTGATAGAGGTCGGAAGGAAGGCACGGATGAACTTACGAGATGATACTTTACGGGATCGTTCCCTTCTATTCTTTCTCCTTGAAGGCCCGCCTTCTTTCACTGATCTTGAAGAATTTGAGTCGAAAATTGAAGAGCTAAATGAAGTGTCTTCAGCTGCACTGAAAGAAACCGGGACGCTATTCTGTGACGGATCAAGAGGGTATCCGACAGCGGCATCTCGATGGGGAGGTGGGAATTTCTCACTCTTGCTTTTCGCGTTTGCTTGGGTTACAACTCTCCATCTCTGAAGATGAAAACCAAGAAGACGGGATTTTAATCATTTACATCAACAATGAGAGATGAAGTTGTGAGAATATGTGGAACCCTCGTTAGATTACTCTCCAAAAACGTTCTTGCAGAGAAATGGTTCGAGTCTAGCCGAAGTGGGACTCTAACACACCCCCTCAAACAGAGGCTATACAAGCACAAATTGTCCCAAAGTGTCGATAGGGGGTTTAGGGCTAGACAAGCGCAGATTACCCCTGAAACGGTAGACTTTGGCTCTAATACCATGTGAGAATATGTGGAGCCGCATTAGATTACTCTTCTAAAGAGCCAGAAGAGAGGTTCCAACATAATCAATTAGAAAGAGCCAAGTGTAGTTGAAAGGGGAATCTTAACAAAAGTAAAATCGCTGAAGAATAAAAGGAGGCAGAAAGAAGATATTCAACTCACATCTAAGTTCGATTGGATCTCGGCATTGGCCTCCGGAGCTGGAACTGCACGGCCAACCCGATCACGGGTTCTTACTTTTTTGTTTCCATCAACAGCTTGAGATTTCCCATTTAAACCTCTTTGCCTAACGAGAAACAACAATTCAACTTGCATCAGTATATAAGGTAAACCAAACCAACCCGGTATATCCCATATGGAGGTGGGTCTGGGGTGGGTAAGCTAAACAAAAAGATGATGGGGGTAAAAGAAAAAAAAGAGAAAAGAACATAACAACCTTCTGGCTTCCTCATCCCTCAATTTGACATCCAATTCTTTGCTGGGGGGATATTTTGGTAATTCTGATGGCTCACAAGCATATGGTTCAGTGGTGAAGAACTGTATACACAGGGAACAACAAGATTTAGAAAGAAATCAGCCAATTCAGCGACCTTTTGTTCCTTTCATTCATTAAAAGAAGTATCAAGTGATGTTCTGATGAAGTGATGACGGAGATAATAAGTCTACTTTGAAAGGAGGCAGGAGCCAGAATCCTTAAAAACATTAGAATTTTGCTTATAGATTCAGTAATCACACGATAAACGCGTCATAATTCTGCAATCATTAAAATAGAATAGGCAAAACTCCAGAAAGGAGACAATTATGCTTTTAATTATAACTCATCATTATCAGGTGAAGGTACTTATAGCCAGTAATGATCAATTGCTACGATATGAACACCTCAGAAAGCTGTTTCAGACCAAAAATGGTATATTTGAGCCTCATTTTCAGCTCTCATTCGGATCAAAGTATAGAACTTTTATAACTGATTGGTCCAAAGTTCAAGTGTATATCGTAGGAATTTGACTATTAAATCATTGCGAAAGAGAATAACTCACCTCACTGTTCAGGGATGCAACAGCAGTGCCACGCAAATCAGGATCAATTGAAAGAAGACTCTCTAATAAAGGAAGAGAAGAAGGTGGAAAATCTTTGAAAGTTTCTGCTGTACAACGCTTGTACGGCTGTTGTGGCTTAAACAGAGTGGCATTTGGCAAACGGGATCTCTTCCAATATTCTTCTGATGGGGAACCGCACAACTTGAATATCTTGTGTAGTTGTTCGACCTAAAGTTAAAGCGATTAATATATCATACAAGACTTATCAGAGCATCCAAATTGGGATGGTGTCACTAGTTAACTCATGTACTCCTCAATTGCATATTTTATGCCAACATTACCTTCTGTGCTTGGTATAATCTCCAGAGAATCAGAAGAAGAAAAAAAGCAAGAACGATACCATAAAGTGGATGCTTCAATACAGCAAAGCGGAAGCAATTCATATAATATAATGCACTTAGTACAAAGGATGGTTTTCATACATTACATCCAGCAAGAATGAAAATGCTTGGTAATAATCAACTTCAATTAAAGAGGTGATTGCTTGATTGTCAAATACTTAAATGGATATAGCAATGTAAGGGAAAGTTCAAATGAGAACCATAAATATATGCACATATACATACGTTGATGCATATACACTATCAAAATATGTACATCTGCCAATTGTATATTCATCAATGTATAGGCACTAAATATGCATTAGTACATATAGTTACTCAATTTATAGTGTATATGCATCCATGCAGATATTGGTTCTCACGGTTCTCAAAATATTTATAGTTCTCATTTGAACCTTCACTTAGGTCAGAAAATCATTGATATGCTTCAAGACATAAAATATCACAACCATGCCACTTCCCTAAGTAACCATTAACAGTCCTCAAGTGCACCTTGGATGTGGTAATCGTTTAGCTTAACAAGTCCATGTAAAGTTATTTACTGTATTATGAACATAGAGTACAACTTCTTAGCATCAATCTGTTAATATGAGGCAACTATTGTGTCGGAAAAGATAATGCATAAATCCAATCAAAGTAAGAAGGTTTTCTACCTCTGTCCGTCCTGGCATTATTGGTTTCCCAGCAAGAAGCTCTGCCAAAATGCAGCCAGCACTCCACAGGTCAACACCAACACCATAATAAGTGGCCCCAAGAAGAAGTTCTGGAGGTCGATACCAGAGAGTAACGACACGGCTAGTCATCGGTTGCTTATGTTGTGGATCATACAAAGAAGCCAATCCAAAATCAGCTATCTTAAGAATCCCATCATTGTCAATCAGCAAGTTGGATCCCTTGATATCCCGGTGTAGCACACCATTCTCATGGCAATGCTCGAGCCCAGAAAGTAACTGTTTGATGAAGCACTTGATCTGCACACATGTAAGGTATTAAAAAACCCAGAGCGAAGAGTTATTATCATATTTCATGGGTGAGAAGACAGTGAAGAAATAAGTTCTTCAAGAGATTCAAAAAAACTAAAATGCTGGAGTCAATATCTTTTTCTGCCAATATGAATGGCCAAATAGAACTTCAAAGCCATGTTTACTGCGTGATCTATCAGTTTCACTTATAAAGGCAGTCAAATTTTGTGAGAACATGTTGAACCCTGACGGAGGCTAGACGGAGATGGGCACAGGCTATCCCCGAGTATTGAGAGGGACTAGACGGGTGAAGGGATATACCTTGACTTTGATATCATTTGAGAAATGGTCCAAGTCTAGCTGACGTGACAAAATTGATGATAAGAGATATAATGCATGTTCCAGTAAAACCTCATCTCTCGAACTACCAAAAGCAGCGTATAGCCGCATACTTCAAAACATGCATCACCTTTAGTTTGCCATATGTCTCTCAAATAGCTTATGAGTTAACACTAGCTTTTCAGAGGGAGAAGGTCCCAAATTTTTTGATAAAGTTCATATCTGGAACCACTTCATTGTCAATATATTTTAGTTCCATGCTTACTCTGAATAACAAATTCTCTGGCGATTCACCTCAGCAGGATAGAATTTACCACACACAGTATAAAAAATATCATTTATGAAAGTTAAAAGTTGATTCTTCGTCTGTTCACCACTTCAAGAAATTTCAGAGGAGGCGACGTTATATATTCACTAGAAGCGTCCATGAGACGATATTTTGAGAGTTTAAATAGAAGCACAACATAAAACATTAATAGGACAACCTGATGTCATCTAAGTGACATTTCAAAAAACGGCTTACAATCAATAGTTATTGTAGTGTCCTGAAGAGGAAAGATTTACTGGTCCTTACCAATAGTATTTCGTAATGTTGGGGCATATGACTTTCCACGGTCAACAGCAATGCAATACATGATTGAAAAGGTCATTAAATAACATTTAACAGTAACTAAACCATTAGAGTTTATAAGCAAAATAAAATATCATTACACAAGCATGGCATGGACCGAAATACCCAATGGCACAAGAAAATCAAGAAAGATCATGGGGAGGCACAGTAGACAAAATTATAAGAGACACACAAACACATAAACCACAAGCGATAAGACTAATACAACTTTGACATCTTAGCAAAGCTGCAACTTATTAATCCACATTTGATGACAAAGTTTCAATTGGCTTCTGCTTTCTATAAGCAACATAATCTGAACCACAAATTAAGTTTACAACTAACAAGAAGAGGTTTGTATCTATGTTAATTGGGAATAAGAGAACAATCTGGATCTTGGAAATTACCTGAGGCTCTGTAAATTTGACACCTTGAACAGCAGCAAGACCAGAAAGATCATGTTCCATGTATTCGAATACGAGATAAAGACTGCAAGACATTCTTGATGTAACCAATCCTTCAAGCTTTATAATATTGGGATGATTAAGCTTTTTCAAGATAAGAATCTCTCTTGCCATGAACTTCACACTCTCTGGCTCTAAATTATCAAACCTAACCTTCTTCAAAGCAACTATTTTCCCTGTTATTAAATCCCTAGCTTTATATACATTGCTATACGTCCCTTGCCCAATCTGATCATCAAGCAACAAGAAATTTAAATCAATTAGTGTCAGCATCTCATAACCTGCAGTCAATTAATCAATCCACGATTGACGTATAGAAAACAAATCCTTCATATCTCCATGAATGAAAGTGTGATGAGATTCAGGGGTTTAATTTAACTTCACCTTATCAAGCTTCTCAAAAGTATTAGCACGGCGAGGTGTCCAATCTTTGATGGCATCACCGGCGACGGCGGAGAGCCAGGACGGCCATCCTTGAGCGGTCTTCAGGCTATACTCCGGCCTCGGCCTACGCCGGTCAGACAGCCGAACTTCGCTTCCGGTTTGTCGGATCCTCCCAACAACTCCATCCTTTTTATCATCCCTAACCTCATCCAACGGCACCTGCTCGACGTTTTGTTTAGGTTGCGTGGTAGTAGACTCTGCCACACTCCGGAGACGTGCGTTTGACTTGGACCGGCGATCTGGAGTTGCTCTGGTACCGAGCACACAGCCCATCGCTCAACCTAGTTTGCCATTCACTATAACAAAAGCAGGTATCTGTTGTCTGCAAAACCACCAACAGTATTGCATTAAATTGTGAAGAATTCCGATGGTTTCCGGAGATTGACGCCGGTGGCGGTGAGCCGAGTACAAGTTGCACAGAAACTCTGTTGGCTAAATACGCAGATGACAGAGAGAGTAAAAAGGAAGTCAGTTTTTTAGAGTCTTTTTTCTCTTTTAGATTTGGATTTGGATTTCGATTTGGAGTTGTTTTTATCAACAACTTTTCAGGCATCGTTTGATCAATAATTACATATTTACCACTCAAATTAATATTCATTCGGGTCAATTTTTTGACCTCACAATTTCAATCTTTTGAACCCTAAAGTGTTTAAAAAATGAAATTAGATAATATATAAAAACTTATATGAAATATAAATAAAATGGATTTTCTAATTAATATAAAATATATGATTTTTTTAATTGTTTAAGAATATAAAATTGGATTGGAAGTAAAGAACAAATTATAATTATAAGATGAAGAGATTGGGATTTTAATTAGATCCGACACAACATGTTACTTTCTTCATGATTCACATATTATTGTTACAATTATCATCAAATTAATCATTCTAATATTAAGTTATCTATATCTTTTCATATATATATATTATGGGATCATTTATTATTTTACCAAGTAAGATAAAAATGTTCCAAATATGTTTTAATAAAGCATGGTTTCTTTTATGAACCGTTCATTCGTATTTTACTCGCGCTTTTCATTAAAAAATTATTTTCACTTTTTTCGCCTATTGTATCTTTTATAACAAATCTTTTAAAATGTGCCATATTTTTATTGAGATAAATTTCTACACGTCATCCAAATTCTCCATCAACACAAACTTTTTCGCATGTCTAACGAATTTGTGTTATATTTTTAAACAATTTATAATATGCATATTGTATTATATATATAGTTGGGTATACGTAAGATTAACATGTTTTCTTGAGACTCGTAAAATCATTTTTTTACACTTAAAACTTCGTAACAAAAACGATTTAATGATATAAAAAACTATGTGTGTGTATAGAGGTGAGGGGGTGGGTGGACATTTTTGTCTTAAATTTAATGCTCTGATTTGTATTGTCTCAAATCAAGAATGAAAAGTCAAAGCAGCAAGAGAAAGACACGGCGTCTAGACTCTATTTTATTTATTTATTTTTTTTTTTGAATTTCCATTTTTCACATGAATTTAAAATTTTCTATTATTAAAAAAAAACATATAAATTAGTCTTCATTCACCAAATAACAAAGCAAGTGGAAAGTGTAATTATAAAAAAATGGATGTTTTGATTTCGTCAAAAATGGTACAAATATAAACATTTAAGTTAAGGTTCGCGTTACACATGCTTTTCTTTATTTTTATTTTTAATCCTTTTTTGTGGTATATTAATTTTTTTTAAATATTGCAATTTTGGCTTCTTATAGAAACTGGTTTTCTATAAACCCATTCGATAATGTCATCATTAACTTTATCGTGTTTTATTTCAAAAGAGGTATTGTCGAACAGAATGGTCGTTAAAAACGAGGCTACTATGTTTGAGAATTATTTTCTTTATAAAAACTTTTGACAACGAACAATTTGTTGTTTTGTGATAATATTTAACATAAATAGTTGAAAGAAATGAGGTTGCGTATGGTTCAATTAGATCGAAGAAAACCGATTAAACTATATCAATTTTTGGGAAGTTTCGAATAAACCCAGTTAAGTTTTTTTGTTGATTTTGAATGACTTCGGGTTTTTTTTATTTTTGTAATTTTTTAATATCCCACACCCCTCAAGGTTTAACCTATTCACCATTTATACCACACACAAAAATCTGCATCCAAAAATTGGTTGAACAGATACACGAGATCATGTTGGGGCCTTAATAGGTCCACCCCTACACATCATCGGATTTGCAAAAATAGCGACCTATGCCATTTTCCGCATCAAGCATGCATTAAACTAGAAAAGAAATAAAAGGTTCTAAATAATATCATTTTTACCTAAATCTCAAGAATCTTAATGACGTGAGACATGGCGTGCAACGAGATGAATCCAGAAGACTTGGTAGCTAATGCAGGTCGTGACATTTTTGTAAACGTGTCTTCTGATTGGAAATCTCTATATCATATATAATGTTACATATATTATATATAAACATATTTTTTTTAATATTACTTGATGAGTAAGTTGTATTAAGCTTGTAAGTAAGATTATATATATTAAAAACAAGAGTAAACTACGATTTTTGTCCCTACTGTTTGTAAAAGATTGGGATTTTCGTCCATGTGGTTTTGAAACTACGATTTTCATCCCTATGGTTTGTAGTTTATTTCTGTTTTTGTCCCTATAGTTTTTAATTTATTGTTGTTTTCATCCATGAAACTAAATCTATTAGAAATTACTAGAAGGGTACTCATGCAATGCATCGAGACACATTTCCATTTCAATGTTTCGTTTTATTTTATTCATGTCGATATAATACAATTTTATGTGGTTTTGAGAAAGCGATAATGTTTTTATTTTTGAATAAAATAAAATTTTGAAAATATCATATAAAATTTACAAAAAATATATTAATATTAGTATCAAATTATCTAATTAAAAGTTCTTGTTTGTTTATTTTTTTTTAATTCAAAATTTTTATTATAATTTAATTTAACGAATTAACTTAATTTAGGTTTAATAATATTTTTTTATAAAGATAATAATTAAGTATTCTGTTAGAACTCAATAATTATCCTAATTATATTTTAGATTTTTTATATTTTAAAATGAGATGTTTATCTTCTATATGATTATTTTTATCCGCAGTTAGTTACACGAATTCAAACATTGAGCTTTAATAAGTTGTACTTATGCACAATTTACTTGTAATCTTGAATTTTAAGTAATATGCATTAATAAACAGTATTTTATGCATAAAAAATGTTTTTAAAAGGTTTTGTCAAAAAATTTAATAGTATAGATATAGATACATTTAACCTAGGGGTATTTTAGCCTTTTTTAAATTACTAAATACCTTTTTTGGTTTCTTTTTCGATATTTTAGTCTTTTTGATTTAATAAAACAAAACATTTTTTCATAAAAGAATTTATCGTCTATGACAAAATGATTAAATAGCTTTCATACAATTTGTTTTTGTTTTTTTGTTTTTTTGGTTATGATTATATGACGTCTTTTCCGATTTGTATTTTAAAAATATATACATTTATATGACATTTTTAAAAGAAAAATGATACACTAAGTTTTTATATGACTAATTGTATTAAAAATATTTAAAATATTTTATCATAAACAATAAAAAATTATATCAAAAAGACTAAAATACCAAAAAAAACAAAAAAAAAAAAATACTTAATAAACCAAAAATGAAAGATAAATCAAAAATACTAAAATAGCTCTAAGTTAATGGATGCTTTTTAATATATTTAATCTTAAGGACAAAAACAACAACAAATTACAAACCATATAAATGAAAATCGCAATTTCAAAACTATAGGGATGAAAATCACAATTTTTCTCAAACCACAGGAACCAAAATCGTAGTTTACCCTAAAAACAAACAAGTAAGATATTAAAAAGGTAAGAGAAATTAATATATCGGCATTACAAAAAATTGCACATAAGACGATAACATGTAATAGACTTAACGTGATATCAGACACAAAAAAAACTACTAAATATACATACATAATACAACAATATGAGAATGAATAATTATACTCTAATATAACATAAAATCCTTTTTACGTTACTTTATTCCTTGCACTTCAAATCGATCCAAAATGTCAATCATACTTTATAATATGTTTTAAGAAAAGTTACACTTTATAAATGTTTTAAGAAAAGCTACTTTATAAAATGGAAAAGGGGTTTTCATTTTTCTTCAGATAAAAATAATTAAAATAGAAAAGCCATAATTGAAGCGACGATGAAAGGCGTCGACTGAACAACGTTATGTGATGTTTTCACCTTTTGAAAGCAGGATTTCCCAAGCCCCACAAAACATGTACAATTACGAATATATCGTGTCTCAAATAGAAACTCTGGTTTTGATGTATTGTTAATTGAGCCTTGACTCATATGGGGTGTTTGGTTTGCATATGAAATTTGACCATGCGTTTGGTTGGTAGGAGTTGGAATGTGATCTCTCATAAAAATTTGAATCTCCATTTTTCTTTTGATGAGATAACAAAAAAAACTTTGAGGCTGCTCTAACAGATTAAAGTCGTTGGGTTCGGGGCAACTTTAGAGGCGGCATAAGACGTGCGGCCTAGGTCATCCGGCTCCCTTACACGACACACACACATGTATGGGCGACTTCTCAACTACGCCCTACATGCCTTGGGCGGCTATGATCCAAGTGGCCTAAGGCGCCCGACGGTAGCCTCGACTTCTGCTTCATAAATCCTTTTCTGCACCTTTCGATCGACTCAAACAAAAACTTGGGTGACTTTTCTCGTGGCTTAAGCCACCCGAGAAGTCGCCCGAACCTCCCGACTGTCCAAAATGCATCACTTTTGATCCCTTTTCAACCCGAACCAACCCAAGGTCAAATAAACTCATTCTCAACATCAATTTCTCAAAACTTAATATCTAATATAACTATAGATCTCACATTTCCAAAACATACATTTATTCATAAAATTGTGGGTATCACATGGTGGTCCGGGGGGGGGGGGGGCTAGGGTTAAGGTGGGTGGTGGTAACTATACAAAAACAGTGGCATGGTTGTTGGTGAAGGTGGGGGTGGGTGGTAGTTGTGACAACAATTATAGGGGCATGGTGGAGGCGTCAGGCGGGGTGTGGGGGTGAGTGGTTGTTGTGACAGTAACAGTTGTAACACAGTCAGTGGTAGCTATAACCTCTAAAATTTGAAAATGTCAATAAATTTAAACTGGTAAAACCGACATTTAACTACCCAAAATAAAAGTATTTGCCCAACATGGAAATAAGGTTACAAGATGGCAATTATAAAGTTTGAATATCATAGTTACTATAGACTTCTATCTGATCCTATTAGGATTAGATTTAAGTCGGGGGTTACGAACAAACAGCATGTTTGATTGTGCCTCTAACTGGTACTCCAATATCTATATCACTG